TCTATTTCTGGTTATAAACCCGAAAACGTCACTTTTGTGCTCCTGCTCATTCACTACGCTGACATCCCTGAAAAGAACGAGCAAGAAACCTAAGGATTGCTATTTTCAAATAAACTTAAATGCTATAGAATGAAATTTGTGTGGATCCTGGAGCCATGTCGTCTTTCCATACATCTTTATTTAAGACGTAGACTTCAATTTTGTAATATGACTTTTCAATTAAAATATTTTCAATGTAGTTTTTAAACTTCGGAAATGATGAAAAAAAAAAAAAAAACGGGCGTTTTATCAATCTTAAAATTGTTATTCGTACGCAGTGAAAACATTATTATTTCGAGTTTAACTTATTTATTTAAATAAATATTTATTTATTTAAATAAATAAATATCTTAAAAATGTTGTTTATTTCTTTATTTAATACTACATGGGTTATAATTTTTCGTTAAAAAAAGACGCCATGTTCATATCGTGACTTTGCGCGCTTTCACCGATAACATTTTGAACAATTATGACAGCGACACTAAAAGTTGACATAACTGATTATTTACGAATTTACAATGTGACAATCTAGACTCAGCTTGTTTTATTTATTTTTCCTCATGAAAATTAGAAAAATATAATTGAAAGGAAAACTAATCTTAATGGATTTAATTATCACATAATTTTTTTAGCAACCAAAATTCTCTGAATATAAGTAATATAATGTAATAAATGTACTTTAATATTATACTACGATTGGACGATTCGGACGATCAAAAAAGAAAGAGATTGCATACAGCTTTATTTCTTTCCTATTTTTAGTAAAGAATAGACCATCTCTTGGAAAAAATATTCGTTCGTCGCATCATTTTAACCATAATATGAGTAACATTGTTATAACCTTACAATTAAATAAGAATGTTTTTTGAAAGGTCATAGTAGGCCCCCAGGTCACTTAAAATCGTATAGATTCGACCACTTGAACCATTTGAATCAAATCACCTTAGTGACTCAAGTTAGGCCCTCACATCTTTCACATTCACTTGAATAAATAATTCAATATTGCAACTCATGCCATTTGGATCATTTGAGATTACTTATATCATTTGGGCGACACTTCAGCCTTCACTATTACTGATCATTTAGATGTCATTTGAATCTTTCGGGACACTTGATTGAAAGGGGGATTTTTTGGCTTATGAAGTTTAGTATTAACAATTTAGACGTTTTATTTGAACCCTGGCTTTGTTGCGTTTTGTACAGCCGCCATTTTGATCATGGCCGCCATCTTGTTGACCTCTGAAAAACGTTATAAATTAATAGAACATTTTGAATTTAGTACACTTTTTTTGTACTTGTTAATTGATGTGCTTTAAACTCAATGACATTTGAAGCCTGGTTACGTCACCAATAACTAAAACCTTCAACTAAGAACATTAATGTTAATGTCGAAAGTCGAACTTAACGCCACCACTCAGGGTTCAAATTTAACTAGTACCTTTAAACTATGTTTTTATTAACATTTTATCTAATACTATCCTTTGTAAATAACTGTACTAACATTTCTTTTGTATTTAGCGCACCGGAAAATTTTACAGAGTGAGTATTTATATATTTGTGTGGTAGGGGGTGCTGGTGCATGATTTTTACACGCTTTTGTAGACAAATAGTGTGTCTTGTAATGGATTATATATATCGATGACAAATGTCTATTCAGAATGTGCTAAATTTTATTGTGAATAATATACCGAGCTTTCTTTGATTAAGATAATCTTGTGACAACTTTGAGTTGGTACACGACTAGACCGTGCTAGACGCTGTGCCAACTAAGCCACGGAACTTACTGTTGGGTAATTTTTCGAGAAATTTCAAATAGTGAAAATTTTTCCAAAAAAATTGGAAAAATATAATTTGGAAGGTTGATATTAAGTTCTTCGTGTAGAAAATATCTTTTGAAGATTTATATAGCGCGAAAAAAAAATTGTATGTTTAAGAGCACTTAATACAGAAAAATGAGATTTTAAATTAAAAACTGGTGTTTGAACACCAGCACCACTTGTTCTTGGCTCAGTAACTTCAACTTTTGATGGGTATCAACGTCAAATGTGGAAAAATATTGGAAAAATGTCCGGAAAATATTTATTTTTCCGAAAAAAAAAAAATTTTTTTTAATGGAACGAACCAACGGACCTTACGAATTTTTCTAAGTACTTGTTGCAGATCTTTCTTTTTGGTTTTTAACGACTTTTTTGACGTAGTGCCATTTCTGCTACTACCAGCTACCAACTGCTGGCTAGAGATGTCGCTTTAATAATTGTAATTTTAAGTTTTTATGTCAAGGTCTTTCACCACTATGATTCAATTATTTTTGTAAAATTACTCCACTAGTTTGTTATAATTGTTAATACAAAGAACGAACACTAAGAAAAAATCCTTTGGTCCGGCTGGATTCGAACCAGCGTCTGCCAGCAAACCGTGCTATGCCAACTAAACCACGGAACAAACCACTTGTTAAGTATTATAAATTCAAATATATTTATTCGTCAACATAGGTTACAGTAGATACATTGAAATAGATGGTGATAAATAAATTTATCTTGACTCTCTATGCTGCAGTTTAAGGCATACGAACTAAATAAGTAAATGAGTATAAGGAAGATAAGAATTATATACAATTTATAAAGTTCTGAGCTAATGTTAGCATGTCTGACACCACTAATTATAGTCATTACATTGTCAATATACAAATCAATATTACTCTATCTACAAACTAAAAATATATTTATTACAATAATAATTAAAAAATAAATTTCTTTTAAATGTCACAATATCCTTCATGGTCCTTATGTCATGGTAATTTATTATAAATCCTGGACAGATTTACCACCTTAAAGAATTTTGGATTGCCTCTGATGAAAACTGCGATGTTAAATACACAAAGAGATGTTTATTAGTTAGTTATTAAAATTGTAAGAAATATGACTATTTATTTGGTTTTCCATTTACAAGCTCACGAAATGGATCGGATGATGAAGTGTAAGTTTTAAAATGAAATCCTTTAAACTTGAGAACATTCAATTATTTTACGATTTGTTAAGGCTTAAAAATGTACATAGTCTCTGCGTACCCCGGTGGGAGACAGGCGTGATAATATGTATGTATGTAGGGGCGTCAGAGCATTGCAACACAGGGTATACAGGTTCCGCTCTCTCACATTGGCCTAACACATTCTACGTAAACTCATATAGAGTGCCATTGTGATTGGAAATGATTATTATTTATAAATAATGTAAAAGAAAGAGTAAGTTTTAAATAGATAAAAAATATAGATTTTGTTATAGGTGAATTTGTAAAAAAGACTGAGTAGGTAACTTTAATCATTATTACTGTAATCTGTAAAATTTTGCTGGATTAGAGTGACACATCTCAAAAGTTCGTAAAGCAGTGATGGGACACGATCAGTGAAATCGAGAATCGATGTTAAAATGTATTGTTCAATAAAACGCAGGCTAGAAATTTAAGTTTTTGTACATTTGAAATGCAGCTAAGCACTCTCGTATAGAACAGATTTTATAGTAGAAGTGTTGCCATAAAACGAAATACATATTTAACACGAAAACTAACATATATTTTAAAATGTTGTCGATTAATATAACCAAGTAAAGAATTTTGAATGTTTATTTAATGTTCAATTTATTAATTGAACATATATCGACTGGCCTATGACAAAGTTAACCCGGCGAGGATGTGGTACGAAAACGGTATGTCTAGGTCCTGGAGGGTCATTATTACCCCGTATTTCCTCTGAACTTTCGTTCATAAACACAAGCTTCTATTAAGGCTTGTGTAGATTTTTTTTTACATAATAATCTCCGAATATATTTTATTTAATTATATAAAACATAACCTCCAAAATTTCAAACCGGAATACTTTAATTCTAGACTACTCAGAATAGTAAACCCAAAACAAAATTTGTTCAAGAATTTAAATTCTATACTTTTACATATACAGACGCACACAAATTCTTTTCCGTGGCATTGTAAATTGAGCCTAAATTGTGTTAGATCAAGTTGTTGCTTAGGTTCCATTAAATCTATTTTTTTTTCTACTTGTTAATAAGTACATGGAAGTAAATACTGCAATTTTACAGGCGTAAAAACCCAGCGCCCTTCTGCGAGCGTATTAAAGGCGACCCTCTTCGTACGGAATGTTCACACCGACGCACTGCCGTCGTACTCTGCAATTTAGTCAGGCACGAGACAATACTGCCTAGGCAATATCAAGTAAGGATATAAAATGTATTGATTATAGTTCTTTTTTTATTTCGATACCTCCAATGAACTACTTCCCGTCACTTGAAAAAAAACTTAATTTTCGGACCTGTTCTGTTTTTGTTTTCTTTTTTGTTTCTTCTTTGTCACATAATTCGTTTTTTTGTTTCTTTTTTTAAATTTTTTTTGTTTTTTTTTTTCACAAAATTCGGGGAACATAATGCCTATTAGTAAATAAATATGACTGTTTACAAAACTAACAGAAAATTAACAAAAATTAAAGTTGCCGTAGTGTTTGTTGGAGGTGTCGAAAATTTTCCTTGGTAAAACCGAACCTATAACTTTTGAAAAAACAAAAAACACTTTAACAAAAATTTCTTTTCCGTTAAAAAGGCGCCATGGCGTAATTTAAACGCAACACTTATTAGTACACAAGATACTAGGTCACTTCAATTCACAGGTATGCTTACTCTACACATAAAATAACCATAGCTTTTATAGTATTTTATATTTTAAGATGCCCGTCGCAATACGAAAGTTTGTAAACACGCTCATGAATGCTAGGTGTTGCCATTTTAATTACCTACGAATTACCATGACCTTTTACATGCATTCTTTACGTAGTCTTATTAGAAAGAAACACCCAATTAAATATAGATACGTATGTAACATTATTTATCGTTAAGATTCACAAAATAGAAATTAACCATATTTTGTATTAATTTGCTATTATAATAATTTTGTTACGTTATCTTAAGAAAGTTCTACATATGGCAACGTTTCTGACGTTAAAACAAATTAAACTATAACTTGTTGGAATAAGGTTTAAATTTAAGTGAACGCTATTCGACAATAACTAGAATTATTGCGGCTTCTCGGCCGCCATTTCTTTATAAGTTATAAAGCGGCTTTTTGTGATTGTGTGCGTAAATCTTTATGGGAGCGCGTAGTTTTCGTGAATAAAATAGAACTCGCCGATCCGCCGGCTTACCTCGCGCAGATTAGTCGAGATGCATCCGGTTATTACGCGTTTAATAGTGAATATTTTTAATAAATGTTTTTTAAGTGGTGAGGTACGCACGCTGCCACTGGTAATAGGTACGTACGCGGAATATTTTAGGCAAGCCGGTGGGAATCGAGTTATATGGACGCCTCGCCACAGCTAGCTAGTTATTTTTTCTTATATAATACAACTCGAACTAAAATGTTGTAAAAAGCAAAGACGTATCCACGTACCATATGTACCATCTCGAGAGTATAGCCTTTCAAACAAAATAATAATTTTCAAAATCGGTCCACAATTCACGGAAAAATCGCTATGTCCGTATACATGTCTTTAAAATTTGAGGATTTTCATCGATTTCCATGGATCCCCCCTCATTAGATTCTGATTTGGTGACAATGGGACCACGACGACAGTACACCCTTTCAAACAAAAAAAAAGTTTAAAAACGGTCTATTATCGACGAAGAAATCTGAAAATATACATAAAACTTACGTACAGCCGAACGTATAACCTACCCCTTTTTTTTGAAGTTGATGAAAAATAGTTTCAATTCCAATGACTAAAATGTTATGATTTTTTTTCAGCACTTCGATGTTCTACCCAACGTATTACCAGGTCAAGAGGCGCACTTTGGAGGCTCAGTGTCACTTGCAGACTACTGCCCGTACCTCCAGGAGTTCACCTGGAAACACAAAAGTGTTCTGATTAGGGGGTCCAGGTGTTCTTACGAAGAGAATACTCCGAGTAAGTAATCATGTAATTTATACTATAAATCTGAGTATAATAGGCACAGATTATTTAATACTACACTAGTATAAATAACCAATCATAAACAAAGAAATTTCGTATTCGTAACGCCGTTTATTCGGACGCTTATTTTGATTCTTATGTTCAGGCCACAGAGGCGGCCGCGGAAGCTTTCCGGGCGCGGGAACCATTGAGTATATACCCAGAAATAGAGACGAAATAAGGGCCATCCATCCTCAACTCATCAAGCAAATGGGCCTTATATCACATTTAAATATCAATTCTCGCTTGCACTGAAATCACAAATTAGAAAGCAGAAATAGTACAGCGCCAACAACTGGCCTGTGTGTACGTCTCCGTATATTCCAAAAATATTCTGTATTTGTTGTAATAAAGATAATATCTCTAACAATGGTGGCTGTTCCCTTTGGTGGTGTGGGAAAAACAGCAAAACATCTAATTACAAAACAAACGGAATCACAGTGTATCGGTAATTAAATATGTAATTTTGCAATTTTCGTTCATTATAGCCAAGCTCAAATTAAACTGGCCAATTTGAAGTAAAATAATTGAAGGCACCCGTCAATTGTATCGAATTCGGGCTAGCCAATCGGACCGCAGTTGTCACCATAATGATTTGGCAGGATAGTTTTCAAACAAATCAAATGACATTACGTCTCTATTTCGGGTTTTATACTCGACGATGATATGAACCCTGTCACACTGTATGATACCAAGTAACCGGACGAACCAGTCGTGTCAAATGAACGTTGTAGTGTCACTCAGAGATTTAAATCAGCAGTTATGTCCAAGATTGCTGCTTGGCAGCAGAAATAGGTAAAATGGCAGTACTTTCTGGATGAGTTGTTTGACATGGACCTCTATGGCTACTGTTATGGACAGGCGTGTCGCTTAAAATCAGGCGCACGGCTTGTTCGTCCCTTCACTTGATATTACAAAAAATTTACATCACTGCGTCACTTTTCACACTCTCTGTTAACAAAGTAAAGCTGTAAAGCTATCTGGCTGAGTGAAGAAATAGATTTCGGCAGAAAAGTCGTTAAAAAAAAGATCTGCGACAAGCACATAGAAAAATTCCTAAGGGTGGCTGTTCACGCATGAAGATTCATTTTTATAAATAGCACCTAACTTTAATTTAGGAGCAATTACTTTAATGGTTGATTTTGCTATTTCTCCAATTCAAGGCGTTTTTCTCTCGATATACTTTGAGTAGTGAGAACCGATTTTTATTAACTCCAGTGTCAAGTCCTGCATAGTGGCGAACTAGGGGATAATTCAATAAAACTTAGCAAATATTTTGAGGATTTTTTTAAAATTTGAGGTCGGTTTTTTTAGTACTCTGTACTGAGATTATCATCTACCATTACCAACCATCTAGTAGTAAATATTAATAGGATGCAAACACTTATCTTTATTCCTAAATCATTTGTATCTATAGGTATTTTGTGAACTTTATAATAATTGGTTAGGTAAGTATTAGTTCTACATAACCCAATTACCTATTTAAATTCCTATTACGAGAGCAAGCCTTAATAATGAGCATTGAAAAAAATGTTCTTTTCCTACGTCATCATTGGTTTATTATTTTATTTTTTTATTTTATTAAAAAGATTTTTTACAAAAAGAAAACTTATAGAATAGGTTTATCCGTACACCGCGATTCATTGACCTGAGCTCGTAACAAAACTGGCTAACGCATTTGTCTAGCTACGTTTTGTTATCAAAGATTCTACATCGAATTTGGCTAGAGTATAGTGGGGTAATTTCACAAAATCTAATTGAATATCATGATGGTGAAATATTCTGACATTCAATAAAACTGAATTAGTAACGTAGTTAATTTAAGATGAGGTAATTGGCAGTGGCGGATTTGCATTCTTGGCCGCCATAGGCCCCAGGCCATGTAGTCAGTACCAACATCCGTTCAGTAATTTTTGAGTTTATCGCGATCTGACAGACTGACGTAGTGATGTAGTGATTATATATTACATTATGGATATGCCTTACTTTCTCAAACTCGTATCTTATAAAGAGTGATCATTCATTTCACGACCGGTCCTGAGCGCAGCGAGTTACCTCTGTGTGCACTCTTGCATTATTCGCAAGACGAAATACGCATATTGCTGAATATGTTTTTTCTGTTCCGTTGTTCCTGTGCACGAGTTCTTTGTGTTGTATGTGTTATGTCTATATGTCTGTGGCTATATCTATTCATAACTTGAAATTGTTTATCATAGACCACATACATACCTACTTTTATTTCTTCCGTGTTGTTTGTTGTGTATCAGATTCCGTTTATCTACTTTTTGTTTTATTTAATGTATATTTAGGGGACTATGGGTTTATTTATAAGTTAATTTTAAAATATGTATTTTTTTATGTGTGTGTAACTGTTTGTCCCTCAATAAATTAAAAAAAAAAAAATTATTCAGGCGATGGCAAAACTTTATATTTATTTTAAATTTCTTATTAAGGGTGTTAATTTGGAAGCATTACTTTAGGAATAGGGAAAAGCCAGTGTGTGAATATGAAGGAGACGTGATTAGAAATCAGCCTGCAAAAATTGTATACACAATCCATTTATTGCATTTCAGTAACTTTGTGCTTTAAGAGCTCTCATGCCAAAAAAGTTTTGACGTTGGCTCCGCCCACATTTGTGAGACAAATATATGCCTGAAGTTCGCGTGACATGCGACAGGAGATGTTGAATTTTGCGCGTTAATAGTACCAAATTCGTTTTAGCGGAATAACTCTAAAACTAAAGGGATTTAAAAAAATCCATAGTGACAGTTCTCGATCATGCATAAATATAAATAATTATCTACTTTTTGTCCTAATAACCTGTAGCATTTCGAGGATGAATCGAAAAAATGTGAAAATTATAGGTCATTTCGTGATTTTTATCTAATGAGGAAACTTTATTGTTTTATGTTTCTGATTAATGTCTATGCTTGAATATATCGTGTAGTTACTCATACAATATTTTATTTTTAACTTTAAAGTGGATATACCCCTCTAAAATCAAATCGAAGATTAGGAATTTTTCCTCTGCTCCCTCTTAAGATACGAGCTTGAGAAACTAAGGCTATGATATTCATATCTACATGTTATATATAAAATGTATAAAAATTATTTAAGAAGATTATTGTAACACGATGCGGTGCAGTACGGCCCGCCATGATGTGCGTGAGCTGTTAGAATATTTACTTTGAGTTATTTTTTGTTATTATCAGTGATTTTTTGTCACGATTGGCCGCCCCTAAAATCTGACCGCCCTAGGTCCGGGCCTACTGGGCCTTAGGGCAAATCCGCCATTAGTAATTGGTGTGAAAATTTGGCACATTGTTATTATTAAATGGTATTTTGTTTACAGAAACGGACGTCAACTTCGCATTAGAGAATTATGGACCACATTCCAAATGCTTTGATCATAGCGATCGCGTGTGGGAACAGAAGTCTTGTAGACAGGTAACTTTTTTATTGTAAATATAAATAATTTAATTGAGAAAGAAGATATCCATAATATAAGTCCATCGTGTAACCAGAAATAGAGACGAAAAGGGCCATCCGTCTCTGGCAATTCATCAGGTAAATGGGTAAATTATGTCACTTTTAAATATCAACTCTCGTTTGCGCTGAAATCACAAATTAGAAAGCTGAAATAATACTGCGCCAACAAGTGACCTGTGTGTACGTCTCCGTATGTTCCAAAAATATTCTGTATTTATTGTAATAAACATAATATCTCTAAGTATGGGGGCTGTTCCACTCGGGTGGGAAAAACAGCAAAACATTTAATTACAAAACAAACGAAATCACATTTCACGGTTGACTGTAAACCGTGACCATGGGACCTATAAACGGCCCGAAATGTTGGTTTGTTTGATAAAAACAAATATACGCGATTTAAATCCGGAAAAATAGTTTCATTTCCTATGTGTAACAATCGCGAAAACCAAAGAACTCGATAAAACTAGTGGAGCTATTTCACAAAATGAAACTTCATGGGGAACTGTATACGTTTTTAGAATAAGTTTCCGAAGCATATATTAAGATTATAATTTCCTAAGTTAAAAAACTTTACATTCAAAGTGTTTTAATTGAAAAGTCGTAGCAATATGTAGAATTTCTTGCTCGTTCTTCTCAGGGAGATCAGCGCACTAACCGAGCAGTAACTTGAAAATTGACGTTTTCAAGTGTAACATTTTAGCTATGGAATAAATGATTATTCGAATTTGACTAACATTTTACAAACCTAAGGTCAGATTTTAGGAGGTGAGGTGTGTGGGGGAGCTGCTCGTTTTAAAATGACTAAATAAGAACCCGACGCTGACAAGCGCCCGATGGCGACTGACGGGGCAAAACCAAAATTTTGCCGGTTCTCTGTAGTATTTAAAGAGTAATGTCTCCATATAAAAATTATGTGCAAAGTTCGATATTTTATTCTTGAATAATTCCTATATATAATATTTAAGCCTGTTTTCGAGATTTTATGTGATCGGGTAAAGTACACCCTATCGTATAACAAATTCGCACATACTAAAGACGATATTCTTAGGTGTATCATGTATTGTTTGTATGGCCATTATGTAATAGTAAATACATAAACCATTTGATCTACTAAAACCGTTTTTCCCACTTCTTCTGTGGTGACTCACCTGAAAAGTGTTAATGTCGTAATTGGTTTTGGAAGCAAGAAGTTTATTTTACAAGCAACGTAATTTTGTAGTAGAAGCTCATTTGAATGAGTTCGTCCAGGATAGTTCTGCTACCTTATCTATTTTTGCCGCCAAGCAGTAATGTCAGCATTACTGTGTTCCGGTTTTGAAGGGTGCTGGTGAAATTACAGGCACATGGGACTTGTCAACTGTGAAAAAAAAAAAAAAAACACGTTTTCATTCCCGTGAAGCACCTTAGTAGTTGGTAATTATCATTATTAAATATAAATACTTATTTTTGTACTAATATGTTGATCACAATTATTTTAAATTCATGCTATTTTACTTAATACAATCTATAATAATTCCTATTCTTATGTTAGATTTAATAGATATATAAGTTCTTATTATTTGTATAACATAATCGTAGGTAACGTAACGAGTAAATTGAAGCCGTAAAAAGGTCGCCACAGGACAGGCTTAGCCTAGTGTGGGACCACCTGTAATGACTCACAATGTTTTCAGGCTTGGCATCACGTTAACAATGCATGTTTTTGTTAATGTCTAACACACACTTAATGTTCATTTAGCATAAGTATCATGTTCTTGTTTTAAAAATGAAAATATGTAAAGTATTTTGTATTTCTGTGTGTTTGTGATGTCAATAAACATTATTCTTATTCTTATTCTTAACTTATGTTATCAGGGTGATGGCGCAGTGGCAATGCTCCTTAGATCTTTGCGATTTAAAGCTCTGAGTGGCACTGCAACTGTTATGGAAAGGCGTGTAACTTACCATCAGGCGTAAGACTTGTTCGTCCCGTCATTTGACATTACAAAAAAATCAGTTAATGTCGTCGATTTGTTTAGACTTCTAATCGGCAGTTAAGTATATATTAAATTATTCTTTACAGATCAGGGAGTGGCAACACTGGGGTTCGGGTTGCTATAAATATAAATGCGAGAGCGGAAGACTGCATATAGTAGTAAGTATTCAAAATTAATAAGGGGATAATTTTATTTGATCCTCCAAGAAATACCTAATTGATCTATTGTGAATGTGTACTTTTTTCACAAATGTCGTAGTAATCAAATTGAATTTAATTAAATTAAAGTAATTTAATTTAAATAGGACTTTATTCATCAAACACAACACACAAATACATAGAACATCTCACGATATTATGTCCTAATAAATGATGAGCAATGTGTGATGGAAAGGACAAAGCCTCAGCATAGTGCTGTATTTCAGTATCTGCCTGTTTTCTATGTCGCATATTGTCGGAACATAATTTTGAACAAAAGGTCTACAACAAAACAAACACAGTTAATCTAACTAAAATCTAACTATTTATTTACTGGTTACAAGTGATAATAACACACATATCAAGTAAAAACAAACAAATCTCATCAGGACGACAAAGGGTACAAACATTGACTTACAATTATATGGACGTCGGGTCCGCGCTAAAAAGTGTCCGAGCTTATAGGGCGTTAAAATCGTATACAGAGCGTCATTCACGCTTTAGTCTTCGTTTGTTCGACTGACAGCGAAGCAAGCAAAATTAGACAGTACTGCGATGACATTACAATTTAAATTCAACGTTTTAGCTTTTTCATATTCCTTTACATGTCACTACGTTTAAATAGGTTGACTTGGGATATTTTTTTCGTGGTTTTTGTATTAGGCCCGTCGTCCATTTATTTGTAAGTCAATGGGTACAAATGACTATTATCAGACTATACGGGCTACTATTCCACAACCGACCAGGAACATGACGACTTCTGATGCAAAATAAGCCACTCCTTTTACTTTAATCGTGTAACTTACACACAAAAAAGTCAGTCGAATTGAGAACCCCTTCCTTATTTGAAGTAGGCAAAAAAACAAGTTACTTTGATTTAATTGTAATGGCCTTTTCGCATCCACAGGTAGGCAATTATACCTACACCTGTTCGCACGCTGGACAGGTGTTGCAGATTCGGATATTGAAGAAAGGATGGCTGCATAAAGGAGGCGTCGTCTGCCCACCTTGCAGGGAACTCTGTGCAGAAGAATTTGCAGTAAGTTTCTTTTAATGGTCACCGAATATTGGCGAGTTACTTTCTAGCGTTTTTCAAACCGCCATTTTGACGATGTCCGCCATCTTGTTATCTCTAAAAACGTTATAAATTAACATTTTGAATTTGGTGCAAGTACAAAGAAAACTTTTGAAAGTTTATAATAAATAGTCTTCTTCTTAATCGTATCGATAGTATACTCTATAATGCTTATCATCGTGGTTAAAGAATTTGTCAGTCGGCGTGAGATACTCGCTGGAAAGAAATGGAGGAGAGGAGGCTCCTTTCGTGCCCCCGTTATGAGAACCCCATATGACAAAACTCAATAGCATTGAGTCGTTCAAGAGTACACACAGTGGCGGGCGCGACGGCGGGCGTGCCACAAGGGGTGGCCACAGTAACGTGCGAGCTGTTGTAGCGCTAAGACGTATTTCAGGTGTTACCAATCATGGACGAGAATTTGCTATTTTTACTAGATAGTCCGATCCTCAGATGGGCGGTGTTCGTAATAAAAAACAGAAAAAAAATGGTGATTTTTTTATTTGTATAAAGAATGTTGTTTTGTTTTGATGTTTACTTTGCCACATAGCTGGTGATTAAATCGTATTTATAAACACTTCAGTATTTCGTTCGTGTGAGGCGCCCGCCTTAGTCGCTACACTATGGACGCAAACGGCGGTTTCATCGCGCCCGTAGTCGCAACCGCACTAGGCTGGCAATGTGGAACCACACTTACACACGCGCGCGATTTTAAGCAACGATGCAAGCGCGCGACTGCATCGATACAAACGCGCGATGCAATCGCTACACTTGGGATTTATAACGCGCGACTGCATCGCGGCTAAAAGTGGCCTTGTGTACCTACTCTAACTCTTTCCAAGTTGATGATGTTTCAAATAAATGTTGTAGGTAATAAACATAGCCATGAGCAGTAGAGTTTAATCAATATTTCAAGTGTAATTTGCTTACTTATGAACTAAAGCTACATTTGAATTTAAATGAGAAACACATGGTGCATTATAGAATCACATCCTAGAAAAAAAATAGGCAATCGTTAAACGCGTTTGAGTGTGTGCGAAATTGAACACAAAATGAATGCATGTAAGGCGCGTTTTATTACAGTTCTGTTTGAAAGAATTATGTCTCAGGTGACGGGCGCAGAGGCAGTGATTTTTGCGATTTAAAACCCTGAGTGGCACTGCAACTGGTATGGACTGTATGTCACTTACCAAAAAGTCACAATGTACAATGTACCGGTAAAGATTTTGCGATACCGGTAACAAAAAATATACAATTTTGTATGCTTTGAAACGCCCTAACGTTTACCTCTTTTGGTATATGGTAACATCTAGCAATCAACACATAGTACGTTAACATGTATCTCTGTAAATACATTATATGGTTAATAGACCTAACTTTTTTTTAATTATATATGTGTAATTAAAGTTATTTTCTTTTTCAGTCACGAAACGAATACTGCAAAGTTGGTGAAGAATCTCCTCCTCCGAATCTTTACCGCCACGACATTTTAACGTGTGGCGCTACCGCGTTGTTTCACACAAGCATTTTGACGGTAGCCGCCATCTTGTTGACACTAAAAAACGCTATAAATTAGCCGAACATTTTGAATTTAGTGCGAGTAGAAAAAAAACTGTAAATGTTTTTAAAATTGTGTGCTCTAAATACAAAGATTTTTATGGTTGTGTGTGTGTAAATGTTGACAAGTAAGATTTGGAACCCGGTTTGTATTGTGGATTATACGAATTTCGATGTCAAAATCGACCGCTCCACTATTTCAGAGGTCAAGAGCAACTTGTCAGCTTTTAATTTAGGTGGCATTTTTAAAAATATGATCACCAAATACACGCTTCATGGATTTGATGAGTCTAGTTAATTACATGTTAAAGTCGGTGTTAGTTTAAACTTTTTATTTTGTGAATTATTGGCAACAAAATTTAAAATTTGATCCTGTTTTAAAGAAACCTGCCATTTCTTTAAAAGAGGCTACAAAAAATACATCACTGTACATGTACTTATGGTTGCAATTGTTATAGGTTTTTCAATAAAATGAACATAAAAATACGTTATAATTTTCAATGCGTTATCTTTTCTTCATTTACCGGTATCAAAAACCTTTACCTTTGTGAATACCGGTAAATTTTCTACGCTGTGGTAAAGCCTATAGCATTTGCCGCTTACGATCTCTTATTTTAATTTCTTCTTTATGATAATTAGAAAAAATATTTGGGCCCTGCCTTGTGAGTAACAACAGGTCTGTTGCGTAACAAAATAGCAATGACAATGATGTGCGTAACACACTCTAATTACGTGGTCTCAAACTACCTTTCGCTTTTACTCTTTTTACGTATTTAATAACTTCTTGCTCAACACAGAACACTCAATCGGGACTCTGCCCAAAACACCAAAGCCAGAATCAATTTAGGAAACTTCTTTTCTTAATTTGGTCCTATCAAGAATCGAATCTTGGAGCACGTTTAACGCTCACAGCGTTAAATACTGGGCTGACACAGAATACAGTAGCTGTAGAGTTCCTTGTGAAAGAGCTCTTCCAGGGAAGTACTGCCACCTTACCTATTACCTGCTGCCAAGCAGTAATGTAAAAAAGGTAAGGGCGGCTGTGAAATTACAAGCACATGGGACTTGTCAACTTATGATTTAAAGCCCTGAGTAGCACTGCAACTGCTATGGACTGGCGTGTCTCTTACCAAAAAGTCACAATTCACACTGTACCGGTAAAGATTTTGCCATACCGATAACAATTTAAAAAAATTACTGCGTTCCGGTTTTGAAGGGTAAGGGTGCTGGTAAAATTACAGGCACATGGGACTTGTCAACTTATGTCTCAGGATGAATGACTGATTTATAAAAGCTGCAAAATATTGCAGCTTTTTTTAATATAAAAAAAACATCTATTTACGTTGTACCTACTGTTAACAACTATTATAGAAACTGTGTTTACTCAAATGAGTAATTATTTTTCCAAATTAGTTCTACTTGGAATCAAAGTCAGTACTTATTCACTTAACCACTTTCCTTAATCACCGAGTTACGTTGTCTTCATTATGATCTTCAATTATTATAATTTCATCTTTGTATTTCTTTTTCTTAAATCAAATAGGTATAAAATAAATAAATATTTTTAGTTGAAAGTCTTAAAAAGAGATTTACAAATCTTTCTTACTTTAGTTTTTCTTATAATATTATTGTAAATTAGCGTCGCGACAGAAGTGTCGTAACTCTAAACAGAAACATATTAAAATGTAAACCTTAGCGGAAACGAAAACAGAATCGGGTGCGGAAACTGAAGTAAATACTACACAGATCTCAACGGGGCTTGTTTTTTGGTTTCACAAGTTGCACTTGACGCAACACAAAAACTGTTGAAAAACGCGCAATCCACCACCAAGAAACCGAATTTCCGATTAAAGTTCCGTTATAAAATTTCCGGAAATAAAAACGGATAGAGATATGAAAAAGCATGCGGAACTTCCGTAGTTGCGGAAGCAGAAGCAGAGGTCTGTTGTATCACTATTGTAAATCTTAAAATATAACTTAGTTAAAACACTTCTACACACGAAGTAACCATTCGTTACCCAGATAATAAAGACTGTTAAAACATTGAAGAAGCTATTATATATTATATATTAACCAATTGGATTTAAATAAAAAATTATAAGGGTGCCTTGAAAACGGACGCTTATAGAAGCACTGCAGTTGTGGGACTGTGGCGCGGCAGCCGCGCGTCTGTAGCTATTTAGCGCTACGGGCAGCCGTGTTGCTTACCACCAGATGCACTTGATCCTGTCAATTGATATGATATAAAAAGGTCAAATAAAATATGTTCAATAAAAAACAAACGACGATAAGACTTAATGTCTTTTACCATTACAAGATTTTTTGTATTCAAGCAATGTTTGTAAAACAGTCTAAATTTCAAAATATGGGTCTGTAAGGTCCTTTACATCTCACCTACAGAGATGTTTTATCATGATATCAAATATAAGTACGCGCTGGGCTTCGTCTTAAACGGGTCCAAAGCACTGTTGCGTCCCATGCACAGGTGTCACATGGTTGTGCGATACGGAGGGAAAGCACTTTAAATATTGTAGATAGAATACTTTGCTTAGGAACCAAGCCGACCAAATGTGAAAAATATGGTGTATTTTTATGATGCGGAGTAATAGGTATTTTTATTTTATTTATTTATTTATTTCCTTAACAAAATAGATAGTGTTGGAAATACAATTACATTTAAAAACTTACATCAAATGCAAAATAAATATTTAAAATACAAAGGCATTCATGCAAAATAATGACAATAACAATGTTAAATTAGATATCCTAATCACGTTTAAATATAAATTAAAATCGAATGCCTCCAACAACAAATTCATCAATGCAATAAAATGATTTAGTCAACAAAAAATGTTTCAACTCTTTTTGAATGATATGGGTTCCTGTTAATTATAATTGCTTTTATAAAATAATACAAACTAATATTATAAATTCAAAAGTTATTCTGTCTGTCATCTTATCACGCCTAAACCGCTGAATTAATTTTGACGAATACTGGTATAGTGGTAGATGTGACTTAGGGCATAGGTTATTTTTTGTCGCAAAAATAAATCTTAAAGGGGGTGAAAATTTGTACGGAGAACCGATAATACTTCGAAAATTAGTATAGCAGTATAATATATTAGTATAGTAGGCTACTCGAAGTACCTACTTGTTCTATGCAGACGAGTCGTGGATCTTTACCATAAACAACACAATCGACATTTTAGCAAAATCGAGTTATCATTATAATCGCACTGCTATTACAATAGTGTAGTAACTCAAAATATGTGAATTTCAAGATTATACCGTTGCTGAACTTAAAATTTGATTCTATACACGTCAATAAAGTCGTTAAACTTATGACTGCCTCCGTGGCCGAACGATTACCAAGCTGGACTGCCACGCATAGGTCCCGGGTTCGATTCCCGGACCGGGAGAAATATTTGTATGGCCTACATTTTTGTCTCTCGTGAGTTTGGATGTAATTTGTGATTGTCTATGCGTGTGTCCATGGCACCCACGACACAGGGTTTCCCTAGTGCGGGTCTATGAGTGTGTGCGTTTATTATTATAATTATTACTTAACTCAAAAGAAAACAAACTTTATGTAAGCTAGTTCTGATGAAGACAGTCCTCACTCAAAAATATGAAATTATTTTTTTCCTTTTATTTTTAAATATATTTGGCAAGTAGGAATTGTTTATTACAGAAGCTTTAGCCTCTACGTAAATTTTAATGATCTTTCACGTGTAGTGAGTAACCCGTTTTTCATCGATTCTGAAAAAGTACAATTTTTGAGTTAATACACTATTCTATTAATAGTGCGATCTGGAATCAGCGAATTGACAACCTCCTTTAAGCAGCTTTTTAATTTCTTATTTAGTTTTAATTTTAAGCGTGGAACACAACGAGAGCGGGTGCGGGTCGGGTCGGGACCGCAGCGGGTCTAATGACAAGAAGGGCAGAGCTAGCGTTTTGTGTGTTTGTGTTTGTTTCCAAAATAACTTGTCTACAGTATTTGAAGTAATTCCACACTTTATATATTGGGCTTATACGTCCATTAAATTAAATAAAAAAAATTAAATAAATAATCTACTGCTTTGGAATTTAAAAGAAAACATCATTACATTGTATATTTTGAATTTAATTAAAAAATATATTATTGCATTTGCTTCCTTCTAGATTATTTCTTGTAACAAAAGACATATTTGTAAATTATAAAAATGGGCTTAATTTTTGTTAAAGCTTAAAAATATACTGGACCAATGAATTATTTTAATTAGTAATTAAATTTAGTCAGGTAGGTTACAATTTTAAACTTGCTAAGTTATAAAGTTTCTTAAATAGATTTATTTACCAGTAATTTCGAAAATGATAAAAAGTAGAAAAGTTAGTTTTTGTCATTATATCACTTAGATTTACACTTGAACCGTCTTAATCAAAACAATTCGGGTTCATTGGACCCCACTGGATCGCCACATACGTTGTGCTTGAACAGTCAGATTAAGTTATTTCGTTTGGAGTACACTTTTTGTATGGAAAGTTATCGTAATAAGGTTGACGATGGAGAATGCACACCTATATAATGCTTAGGCAAGCAAGGTGGTTTTCTACAGGCAAAGCGAGACGAGACAAGGCGACACGAGAACAGAAATCTTGTCGACCTATTATCACCAAAAATTGCTATAATAGCTATATATACGGTTCAATATTACATCAACAAATATTTCAATTTTCGCCTCACCCATCCTCGTCAGTCCAGACCATTCTCCACCGATTCCACCGAAGATTCGGCAGGAGATAATTGAAATTTTGCCATACAAATTTCAATCCTCGTCTCGTCTCGCCTCGCCCGTGGGAAAGCACCTTAACACCTTCGTCCATGTGCGCCACACATCAAGGACCATAGGTAAAGATGGCACTGATGTTACTTATAAAATTTGCTACGCGCATACGTGTTAATTCACGGAACTGTATTGGCGAACGTACTATAAATAATTGTTATGTTTTAAGTACTCTCTTGAGTATATGCCATATACTTAATTTATTACTTTCACGTCTAGTAAACGTACCTGTAATTCTACTTACAATATTTAGTTTACTTGTCAACAATGTTACATGTAATAGTAATTTTTGAAAGCTACTGTCTTTAGGTCTTGTGCAGCTTTTGGACAACGCTAGCGGTGTATAACAATGTGATGTATACCGCTACATAGTACTGTAGAACACTACATAGGACAGTGAAATGCTACGTAGCCCTTATACCGCTACATAGCATTGTATAGCGCTATAATAACACTGTATACCGCTACAAAGCACAGTGTATTGCTACGTAGCCCTTATACCGCTACATAGCATTATATAGCGCTACATAGCACTGTATACCGCTACAAAACACAGTGTATTGCTACGTGGCCCTTATCGGTATACATAGCATTGTATAGCGCTACGTAACACTGTATAACGCTACATAGCATTGGGTTTGGGGAAATAATTATTTTGGTAATTAACGAACCACATAATCAATTTATTTATTTGGATAATGTTTTAATAGGAAATGAAACTATTTTTCCGGATTTAAATCGCGTATATTTGTTTTTTCAAACAAACCGACTTTTCGGGCCCTTTACAGGTCCCATGGTCACGGTTGACTGAGGTGGTACAGTCTTCAACCAGTTATGTCTAATATTGATGCAAACCACCCTATTTTTTCCACTGTAGTTACTATTTTACAAAGAAAACATTCCAATTTACGCTATATTAAGTTTTACAAATTATTTTATTGAATGAATTTTTATTAAGTTCAATTTATTATTAATTATTAATAGAAATTAGAATAAACTAAAACATATTAATTAGTACTGCAGTCTTATGTCTGTTTGGGATTTTTCATTAGAGGAAATACTGGATCCCAAACTGGTGGTACGGAGAAATCATCTTCTGTTGAAATTAGGATGTTTTTTAATTTCAATGGCCTCTCGCAGCATCCTGGGTAGATAACGGACTTCTTTTGCAAGGACCTGGGGTTTGTCAAAAAACAAATATACGCGATTTAAATTCGGAAAAATAGTTTCATTTCCTATGTGTAACAATCGCGAAAATCTAAAAACTCGATAATGTTTTAATATTCATGAAGTAATTGTTGGAACAAAAAAATATCTGCCAACATTACAACATAGCGCTGTATAACGTTATGTAGCTCTTACTCTGCACAAGACCATAAGGCTCAGAGTGGAAACTAATTTTTGTAACGAAATCATTCTACACTACTAGTAATTACTCAATTTACTGTAATTTCAAGAACAGTGGCTTATACCGAATTTGACTCTTTTTTTTTTACTTATTACTGAGAGTTATTTAGAAAATAATTATATTGTGATTGAGATTCCAAGCTCTTCGTTGGTTAGATAAATCACATGGCAACATTGGATTGGTCTACGATTTGTAACTTTAAGTGGCAGACGGTTCTCAGCTTTTTTTAAACCATCTCTC